TTCAGTTTAGATTTAGTCATTTTAATACTTGAAGAAAACATTTTCTTATAATAATTCGGTTTGTTAAAGTTTGTTTCAACAACATATATATTTTATTTCGTTTTATGTTAAGTTCACAATAACAACACTGGTGCAGAGCAGTGGCTACTTGAAGAAGCTAAAATATTTTGATTTGATTAGCATTTTTGGTCTCTACATAATTCCCATACTTCTATTGTTTTTTTTTCCCCCATATTTATCCCCCATTGACTTAAATGTAGAAATTAGTAATAATATGGACTCTGTGTGTGGGTGTGGGTGTACTTAACTATATTTCGGGGACAAATTCGTACCCAGAAGTGACCAAAACCTGACAAAATGTCCACAAACCTCCCTTTAGGGACGTCTTCATTTGTAAATCTGGTATAAAAATAAAGTAATTAAAGTTTTTTTTTTTTTATTTACAAATGCAGAAAGTTTTGTGTGATGGTTAGGTTTAGGGGTAGGGTTAGTGTAAGGGGAGACAATATACAGTTTGTACAGTATAAAAACCATTATGTCTATGGAATGTCCCCATTTAGATAGCTACATAAACGTGTGTGTGTGTGTGTGTGTGTGTGTGTATTAAGCAATAGGGACTCAAGCAATTTGACTGCATGACTCAAAGTTCCATTTCCTATGATAATGGTAACTGGAAAATTGCTTGAACTTCCTCAATGTAACAGGTAGCCCAGGACATGGCCTTGAGCACAGGAGACACACTCTTCGCCCTGGAGATGTTGGAGGCAGCAGGGGATGTTTTCTTCAACAGTTCACAGGACAGAGAGAAAGCCATCTGTTTTTACAGGGTAGGTCATGCACACATTGTTGAGGAAGAGGGAGGTCTATCGCACTGTGTTGTTATTGGACTCTGTGAATGTCAGGTCCCTGTAATTTCCTTTTTCTTTATTGCAGTATTTATTATTAGAAAACATTCATCACCATCCTAATCCTTCACTGTGTTTGTGCTAAGAATGTGTGTGTATCTGTTTTTAAGGACCGAGCCCTTCCCATCGCAGTGAAGACGAGCAGTGTGCGCTCTCAGCTTCGGCTGTGTAACAAGCTTTCAGAGCTTCTTCTGCAGCTGGGACAGTGTTCAGAGGCCATTGAGTTCACTCAAACCGCATTAGACATTAGCGTGAGTCTGGGTAGGTGAACACGTCTGCACATCCTTTTTTATTTATTTATTTTTATTGATCAATACTTTTATTCAGAATCCTTGTGGCTTCCTGCCTGTCTGTTTTTGAGAATACAGCACATGTACGTGTGTCGGCCCGGATCCGGCCCACATCTGGGCCGCGTGGAATCCATGTGTACCAGATGTGGCCCGGATCTGGGCCGACTTATGTTGCTGTCTGGGAAACTCATGTTCACAACAGTTGACAGCCGAAAACCTTTAGGAGAGACAAATAACAGTTTTCGTTCGTCTGTGTATTTTCTTACAGCTGACCATTTAAACGAACGCGTGGCTTTCCATCGTCTCGCCACTTTGTACCATTGTGTGGGTCAGTTTGAAATGGCAGAGCACCACTTTCTGAAAGCCCTGTCCCTGTGTCCCTCACCCCTGCAGTATGACGAGGAAGCCCTGTACTATGTCAGGGTTTACCAAACACTTGGAGACATCATCTTCTATGATGTAAAGGTAAGCTATGGACATCTGCCATTGGTTTGATGAATAGTTAGTCCCGCTCCAAAACTCACGCCATTACCTGAAGAACGACGTAACTCACTTATTACGGTAACTACAATTGTACGATGAATCATTGGAGAAGCTAACTAGCTAGTCACGACTGTTTCATTACATTAGACATTAGTGATGTCACGCAGGTGGTGAATGCTGACTACTGCTGATTCACCAGTACAAGATCAAATTAATGTCAGATTGTTGCTGTAAATGATGAATGCAGTATATGAGGAATACTTTTTCTGTTGTTTTGCTTTATTTACAGATGTTGAATTAAATCACGTTCCCTCTTATGTCATACTTTGACGTACTATGACGTCCCCAGCATACGGCACTTATTCTTTGCACAAATTAAAAGAAGTATAGTGAAATTTGCTTCTAAACTATGCTATGCTTCTAACCACAGGTCCAGAGCTGTAGTTCAAACCACACAAGTTTGCGATGATGTTTGCAATGTTCGTTGGAACTATGGTTTCGGGAAACACTGAATTGTTGAACTATGTTTGTAACAACCAAACTTGCGATCATAGTTGGTTAATGTTGCTTTTGGGAAACACACCCCTGCTTCAAACAAGCAGTGAAATATTTTGAAACCACAATTAGAAATTACTCTCAGAGTAAGAGTATTTACACTTTTCTGGGAAATCAGTGTACTTAGTTACTTTTTTAGTAGCTTACTTGGTTGTCTCTACATAAGTTGGAACAGGAGATGGTATTTAAAAAAAATACACATTACTTTTAATTACAGATTTGCAGTAAATCTGAAATAAACCAGAAGATGGCAGTCTAAGTACATACTGAATAAATTATTTTTTTATTCACACCTCATTCACAAAGTAGAAAATATAAGTGTAGTCATATTCAGAATGCAAATTTATGTTTTAAATATATAAAGCACATCTTATATCCAGGCATTTCATCAGCTAAGGACAAAAAAGAAGGGAAACCTGTTTTTTTCTCATTCAGTAATGACAATAACAATAAAAACAGCAACAATAAATAATAATAATAGTAATAATAATGATTATTATTAGGATTATTATAATTATTATTATTATAAATGATGTTTATTATTTAAATTAAATGAATCAATAAAGAAATATATTACCCTTGCATTAATACGTACTTCCCATACTTCAGGAAATATGGAAATCTGAATAAAACACAAAATCAGTTCTCTGTAAATGAACTGTAGAACCTTCTCTCCCTCTGAATCCCAGGACCCATTTGACGCCGCTGGCTATTATCACTTGGCGTTGGCTGCTGCTATGGATCTGGGCAACAAGAGATCTCAGCTAGAGCTGTGCACTCGATTGGCCACTATCTACCACAACTTTCTCATGGACCGTGAACTCTCGCTGTTCTTCTACCAGCGAGCGCGAGCTTTCGCTAATGACCTCCACATTCGCCGTATCAACCTGGCTCCAGACTACAGTTTCAGGACCACAGCCCAGTACAAAAACACAATAACTGGGGCAACAAGATAGAACTGGCTTCTGATGGGATATGACACTTCCGCTGCATGTTTCGATTTGACTTGTGTGTGAATTTTCTCTGTTTACTTTTATTCGCCGGATGTTATGTGTATTTGTTGATTTATTTTACGGAATGTCTGACTCATATAACATGTTGATTTGTCCAGCAAGTGTTTACTGGAGTGTAAGCCATGCAACCTTCAGGCACTGTTTGCTTTGCATTCATTCTTAAATGTTTTGGGACTAAAAAGACTTTTATGTGGTCTATTTGGCACGAAGTCCCATGATGGATAACCTTTTTTTTCTTGTTCTCTAAAATTTATAATGATGATAATCTGAAGATTTTATTGTGCCTGATTTTCCATTCTTTAAAAATGGTATTACGTTTGGTTGACCTGTGGAAGTGATGTCAGTGAACACGTTTTTACCTCAACAAGGGCTGTTCTGTTTGTACTAAGTGCAGAAAAGAACAGGCGTTGTAGTTTTAAATAAACATGTTCATGCCTGGTGAAATACATGAGTTGGTTCAAACCCTCCCAGTTCAGTGAAAACAAACCCACTGGCACTGTAGGGTCTAGTGGCTTGGCGGCATTCAAATGTATGTGCCAAAAAGAGACCATGTTGGCACTGATTATCAATAAAATTGGATTTAATACTGAATTTAATTGCTTAACAATATGAAGTTGCAAGCTTTCTTTGAATGGCCAAAACAAACCTTGAGTACAAGTGAGCCCTTTTGTTTTTTATCCTAAAAATAAATCTGTTCTATCCAAACAGTTTATAGCAACCCATTCTGGATCAATTAAGAATGACAATCAGGGGACTAAGTACACTGGATTTGGCAAGAGTAAACTGATGATGATGTTTTTAATTCATGATCTTTACAGATGTCGGATCTTTACAGTCATTTGTGGGAAAAGACACTTTACTTTAAAAAAAGAGATCTATTGAAGGTACAATATGCAGGATTTTTCGCCACCAGGGGTCGCTAACCTCTTACAATAACAAAGGCGTATATTAATGAGGTATATTCAGCATTAAGGAAAAATATATTTAAAAGAATGTACTAAGTGTGAACTGAATGTAATGTTTTCACACACTGAATGATTTATAAATGAATTGTTAATGAATGAATAAAATACAAATTTATTATAATTAAAATGTATTTGAAATGCACTTACAGGTGTGTGTTTTTTTTTTTGGACAACTTAAGTGGGACTTAAGTAGACATTTTTCTTTGTAATTTCATACTTACAATGTCATGTTTAAATTGTACTGCGGAATGTTCTGCCAAGTATTTATGGTAAACTAAAATGTGCTTTAATGTCATTTCTATTAAAACGTGTATGTCATGTATTCCTATTTTGTAATTGCACATTTGTAATTATTCGTTGCAATTTAGTACATTAAAAATACATTAACGTTAAAAACCTGCAAGTAAATTTGTTTATTTACTTTAAATTGTTTAACAAGGCTACATTCAATACATTTCAGTGGAGTTCTTTTTCACAAGGGATTATTCGGACGACTCACTGTCTGATAAAACCGAGATAGCAGAAATGAAACGTATAGGCTAAATTACACATATAACACGTTTAACTTTAAATAAACTGCATAACCATTTTCAGTCGAGAGTAAATTAATTTTAGTAGGCTACTGTTTATTGTTAACTTTGTTTTTGAGCTCCAAAAAGAATAGATGAATGAATCGGTTCTCTGAAATGTTCGAAAGGAAATGAGTCGGACTTCCTACATGTGAATACGCAGCGATTTGGGGTTTACGAAATTCCCCGCCTCCTCTAGGGAGAAGAGAAAAGCAGACTCCAGTCGAGGATGTTGAGATGGTCGACAGATGCAGAAGTAACAGCACCACACACACATCAAGAGGCTTCACACACTGTTTTAATCATTTACACGTGGAATATACCACCAAGAGATCAGATTGGCCGCTTGGATAAGAAATATTCCTCTTTCTGGGACAACCTCTTCACACTGGTCTTTCAACTGAGCCTACAGGAACGCACACACATCTCATCGGAAATTCGCTTTTTGCTTTGGAAATCTGATGCGTAATGGTGATCTCCAGAGGGCTGTCTGAGAATTAATACGTTTTCATTTAAAATGCAGGTCATTCTGTTCGTTTCGGTAGTTTCTCTTTACATTTTAAATGCTGTTGCGGATACTAAACTCAAGTGTCCGGAGCGCTGTGATGTGAGTAAGTGTCCTAGCCCGAGCTGTCCGAGCGGGTATGTGCCGGACCGCTGTAACTGCTGTCTGGTGTGCGCGCACGGAGAGGGCGAGCCGTGCGGCCGCAAGGACGATCTGCCCTGCGGGGACGGTCTGGAGTGCAAGCACCCGTTTGGAAAGAGACTGTCCAAAGGGGTCTGTCAGTGTAGGTACAGCAGTAAAGTGTGTGGCAGTGACGGGAACACGTACGGTAACATCTGCCAGCTGAAGGCCGTGAGCAGGAAAGCGCAGCAGCAGGGTCTGCCCGCGGTCACCAATGCGCACAAAGGACCCTGTGAAAACAATCAAGGTAAGTCATTTGTGTATAGCAAGATATTTGACATAATATCAAAAAATGTATTTATGCTGAAAATGTAATCATTAATTAAATGGGATTTAACCACAAAAATACCACAATGAAATAAGTGTTTTCTATAAAAATCTTAATAAATGAATACAGGCCTTCTTGTAAGAATATTTTTTTTATAATGTAGGCCTATGTATTTGGTTAGCAAAAGTTATCACAGGTACAGTAATTGTAAAAATGGTATTGTGGTACATTTTTGGTGTGAGAAATATGGGATGACGATGACATTAGGTTAAAACACCTCTTCATCAGCTTCTAGAATGCCAAACACTTACATCATGTAGCAAAGAGTAGCAAGTTATTTCAGTGTTGATTCAAGTAAGTTCAATAACAGTGTCGATATTGCAAATTTCACCAATTATGAAACAAATTCAATTCCGCTATAAAGCAGCTCAGAAGACAATAATGTCATTGTTAGACTCAATTTAGTGCAGTGTTGATTCAGTTTAGTTCAACGTGTTGCAAAGTTAATCAATTCTGAAATGACTTCATAGCAGCTGTACATTGTTCAGATCAATTTAGCGCAATTTTATTCTCATCCAATAGTATCAGTGCAGTTTACCTCAATTCTGGGGACAATTTGGTTAACACAGACACACTTTAAGGATTTCACAGAAGAGCAGCTATCTCCTTCATCAACACCATGATGACTGTGTTTTCGAGTCTCATTATTCCTGCATTCAGAAGATACTCCATCGAGCTCCTCTAGCGACCATCACATAGCATAACTCCACTGATAATCAGATGAGCCATCATGGGTATTTTGACCGATGGGACTGTGACCTCAAACTTGACGTGCAAATGGGAGCTGCAGAGAAGTTTGGAAATAGAGCGGCTTTGTGCTCTGTAGAACAGGCATGATTTCCTCTGCGCTTCTCAGTGGAGGTTTGCCCTTTTGCTCTGATTTTGGATAAGACCTCAATACCAACACCCTTTACTTTATCATTAAAAGGAAATATCAAATTGCTTCCAGATCAGCAGTAAAACGTTATCTCTATGCTGACAGGAAGAGGGAGGAGGCACCTATTGGAAATGGTATAGGCCTACCACCTCTCTGGAGACACATTGAATTAAAAGGCTACTGATGGGGTGAAATTATGTGTATGAAGACAGATGACCTGGTCAGCTTTTTAGGTCTGTTAACTCCATAAACACAACAATAATTGAGCAAAACCAGGTTTAAAGGAGCCAAGGTAACAATCATTTACCCATTAGTTACTGTTGGCCCCTGCAATGCCACTAGCCACTATAGTTTATATATTTGGGGCAAGTGGCAAAACTGTAAGCAAAAGAACCCGCAGAAATGCCTATTTGAAGAGAAGCAAATCATTACAGCATTAAAAGTCACATAAATTATAGTCTATCATTCTATACAATTTAGGCTACTAAAACCTCAGAATAAAACTATACCCCTTGCAATCATTGTATTAAGAAACCCAGTTGCTCAGAAACAGATGCTGGCCAGATTGTGTGATCAGCTGTTCTTCCGATGTCTCGTCTCTTCACCATTTCAGACTGGAAAAAATGAATGAGGAAACCATTGAGACATTCATCTTTGGTTTATGCCTGGCTGACTTTGGGTTGAGTGGCGTTTTTCAATATTATATGTAATCGTCTAAATGAATGTGCACACGTTGCCAGTGGAAGTTGACTTACTTGGCAGTTGTGAAATCTTAGAGGTCACGGCTCCGTGATGCAGCCATACTGGAATGTGCTTTTATATGGGGTGTTGCATTTGATTAATGATTAGCAGTTGAGTGTAATTTTATTGAATGCTTCTTTTGGTTTCTCACAGCTTCAAAATGATAAAGCTTAAATACTTTCATCCAGAAAGCCAGAAATAAAGCTTTACAACTTTAAACAAAATAGCTTTACACATATATTAACCCACTACCATGTTTGGTACAAAAAATTTTTTTGGGGGTCAGTAAGATTTTTGCTTTTTGAAAGAAATTATTCTTTTATTCAGCAAGGATTTATTACATTAATCAAATATGACAGTAAAGTGATTTACAAATGATGTTACAAAACAATTAAATATTAAGTAGTACAAACTTTTTCTGAGGAAGCTTGTTTCTGCTAAGGAAAAAAACAAATTAAAAGATAATTGTGACTTTTTAATATCACAATTCTGACTTTCTTTCCTCACAATTACGAGTTTACATTTCGCAATTGAGATTTTTTTCTAGCAATTGCGAGTTTATATCTCGCAATTCTGACCTTTTTCTCAGAATTGAGACTTTACATCTTGGAATTCTGACTTTTTTCTCGCAATTGCAAGTTTATATCTCGGAATTCGGACTTTTTTCTTAGAATTGTGAGATATTGTTACAAATATTCAGTTGTGTTTGTTCTTAGTTTTGTTTTCATGGACTTTTAGTTTGTATTCATTAGTTTCCTGTGTCCCTTTGTTCTTTTCCCGCTTTTCTTGTGTTGTCATGGTTACTATGTCATTAGTTTGTTTAGTGTTACGGAGGGTGTTTCTCAAAACCAAGAATGCAAAGAACGGACTTGTGTTCTTGGGGAGAAAGCTCTTGCTAGTTGTTCTTGGAAGAATGAACTCACAAGGTGACGAACACACAGAACGCTGCTGACAGTTTGAGACGATGTGTTCAATATTTGAAATCTACACAGTTGATTTCTCGCATCAAATGTTCTCAGAAGTGAATTTAGTGGTGAAATAGCGTACGTAATTGTAGAAAAACGAATTACTGTATTGACCTGCCTCTCCTTCCTCGAATGCCGAATTGAATGCTGGGATATTTCTGCCGTCAAGTTCACACAAGTTACCAACCGATGCATCCTCGGTAAAATGGGCGTGTCAAGAACACATCCGGTATTTTTATCCGTTCTTGCCAAAATGCAAACTTGTGTATTGGGACAGTACTTGGGCCACAAAAGATGACGTTTCACAAGAACACAAGGACACAAGTACAGACAAGAACACAGATTGAGAAAGGCCCATTAATTACCTCATTTGTCAGCATACTTTTGTTCAGCCTTTTCCTTCCTTTTGTTCTGTTTTATGCTCTGGATTACTATTAAAGACTCGTGTTTGAACTTTATCCTTCTTCATCGTCTGTCTGTACAACGCTTGCTGACAGAAGACCGGATCACAAGAAATGGATTATGCTGCTAAAATTGCAAACTTTTTAATTTCATGGAGCAGTTAGGCCGTCTTGCCATCACCTGCCCCTACAACGACGAGACCATTGAATCGCTGTTCTGGATCGGGGCGGACCAACACCACCCTGTAGACCTCCCAGACACCTCAGAACTTGTCTGTCCCCGATCCAGGACACACCCAGAGCCCAGCCCACCACCACCCTTAGACCGCGGAGACTTTGCTAGAGCCTCTCGCAGACGAAGAGCAATAAGTGAGCCAAAGATCGACGAGGAAGGGAAAGCGCCGACCATCGCCCCGATGCCCCAGAGTGAGTCTGACCAGGGGTGTGAGCCAGCAACAGCAGCAACAGAGGGAATACTGGTGGAATTGGACTCAGAGGACTGGCTGATCGATTTGGACACGAAGGTCCTGCCTCCCACCCTTTCCCACCCTGTATTATCTGCTTGTTTTCATCATTGCTGTTTCAATATAGCAGTGAAATGGTATCATCGACCTGTTGGGAATTTGAATTACCATTATTGATCCCATCAAGGGATCTGTCACAGTAAAGCTCAGCTAGTCCTCCAGCCCAACCTCAGCTGGATACCTGGAGCCCTTTGCCTTCCACGGTGACGCCTTGCAGCGACCAGCCTCACCTGAGCGAGAGGATCCTTTGGCTCCGCCTCCGGCCTTTAATCCCTTCGCTCCACCTCGGTCCGTCGACTTGTCGGCTCTGCCTTGGCTTCTCCCACCCTCGACTCCACCAGAGACCCTCGGCCTTGCGGCTCCACCGGGTTTCTTCGTCCCACCGCTCCACCTCGGTCAGTCGTCACTCTACTTTCACAATGGACTAACGAGCCTTCTCCAGCGCTCAGTCCTTCCACCCCTATGGCTACAGCGGGTTCCTCCTTCACTCCAGCTCCACCTCTGTCCTCCGTCACACCAGCTTCGCCTCAGTACTCTGGCTCCACCTCAGACGCTTGTCGCCGTGACTCCGCCATGGTCTCCAGTGCAAGCGGTATCGCTCAAGTCTATTGGATCTCGGACTGCGCCCTGGGATCCATCGGCTCCTTCTCCGTCTGTCGTAGCACGGATGTCGTCTGTCATGTCACCACCTTGGCTCCTACCTACCTCGACTCCGCCATGGGCTGTCGTCACTGCTATGCTCTGGGTCTGCTTCAGCGGGCATCTTCCAACATTGCTGCCAGGGTTTCATCGTCCTCCTGTCACCATCCCTCTGCCGTTTCCAGTCACCATCCCTTCGCCATCTTCACATCCTCCTCCTAAGCCGCCTCCTTCTCCACTTCACGCTACAAGGGAGGGGGTGTTATGTTCTCAGACTGAGTTTGTTCTCAGTTTCGTTTTCATGGACTTTTAGTTTGTATTCATTAGGTTACTGTGTTCCTTTGTTCTTTTCCCGCTCCTCTTGTGCTGTCATGGTTACTATGTCATTAGTTTGTTTAGTTCAGCTGTGTTCATTACATTAACTACCTCATTTGTCAGTCTTTTCCTGTGTTTAGGGTCCGGTCATGTTTGCGTTAGAGTTTTTTTTAGCGTTTGGGTCCGTTTTATGCTGTGGATTACTATTAAAGACTCATGTTTGAACTTTATCCTTCTTCATCGTCTGTCTGTGCGACACTTGCTGACAGATATAAACACGCAATTGCGAGTTATAAAGTCCAATTCTGAAGAAAAAAAACTTTGTGATTAAAAAATGTACCTCAGAATTGTGAGAAAGTCGCAATTCTGAGAAATAAAGTTAGAATTGCAAAATACAAACTCATGATTCTGACTTTTTTTCTCAATTCTGACTTTTTTCTGAAATTCACAATGCGAGGAAAAAAAGTTGTCTGATAAAAAGTCGCAATTACCTTTTTTAAATTTTTTAAATTTATTATTTTTTATTATTCAGTGGCAGAAACAAGCTTCCATAGATTTCAACAGAATATTAAAGTCCCCCTGTAGTCATTTCCCCCCTTAAAAGTCACTTTTGATCACCAAAATTACATTTTCAAATTATAAAACAGTAAAATATTAAAGTAAAAAAAATGTATTACTGTTTTTTACTGTTTTTTGATCAAATAAATGCAACCTTGGAGCATTTTGGGTCATTTTCTGTTATTGTTTATGTATTAAACCAGCCTGTTCTCACGTAAATGCCTCTCTATAGCACGCATTGTGTATTATCGTGCAATTTATACTCGAAAATTAGTTTTTACGTGCAAATGATACGCTGTTTTCGCGTGCATTTGATACGCAGTTCATTTGCGTGTAATACACACGCACCCCACACCACTAATTCTACCCAAACGTATAATACACACGCACCCCACACCACTACTAAACCTACCCTAACCAACTCATGCATATCCTATGCACGTATAAGCTCATTTTCGCATATAAATTACACGATAAACACACTGCATGCTATAGAGATGCATTTAGTGTGATCGGGTTGATTAAACACATTTCTGGGGCTTGCAACAACTCTTAATTACAGCCTAAAGAAAACTTTAATTAAAAAAAATTAACTATTAATTAACAGAGACAGTGATCAAAGCCAAGTACAATGTAAGCGATAGCCATAAGGTGTAATATGTAAAGTACTGAAGTACTAAACAAGGTTTTAAATAGTCTTGAATCATCAATGACTTCAAATTTTAGGTTAGTAGGACAAAAAGGGTGTGCACGCAAAAGAATGATGGTGGTGCCAACACGGCCAAGAGGAAACAGCAGTCAAGCGAAAAAACCACCCTGATGTTTGCAGAAAATAACATGCCCTAATTACTATATCTTTACACACTGAACACACTTCACTGCACAGTGCACACCCAGCACAACTCAAGCATGCATGAGGATAAAACCCACCTAGTGATTTTAGACCCAATTATAGAGGAACATTTCCTGTGTTTGAAAAGACTTTCTCCAACTATCATCACAGTACAACTATCATCAACATAAGATCTGAATCTGCAGGAAAGAATTTAAACACTCATGCCTGCTAATCATGCCCTCTTGAGCCAGAACAGGCTATGTGGGGCTATAAAAAGACAGTAGTAGCATTACAAAAGAAAACGTGGTGCTGGTTTTTGACCATAGTGTGATTATTAACATGAGTAATTCTTTCTGCTAGTATAGGTCCCACACACCCCAACAGCCCGAGGTACAAATTCAACTTCATTGCTGACGTGGTGGAGAAGATCGCCCCTGCTGTGGTGCACATTGAGCTGTTCCTAAAGTAAGCCCGAACACTTGCAAACACTTTCATGGTGTGGCAGCCATCTGTAGTGCTTTAAAACTGTGGGGAAGTGAGGAAGGTTTCGGCAAACACATCTGTGGGTGAGAGTCATTGCTGTCTGTAAGCTCAACATATGCACTACTGCTTTTGCCACGGCTATTCTTTTGTAAATGATGACAAAGAGTGTGGCGTGGAGAAATTGGGTACAAACAAAATGTTTTAGACTGATATTTTTCTATTATCTTGCCTATTCATTTATAGAAAGTGTTGTGGTGATTAATGTTTTAAAATGCAATAAACCCTTGTGGAAAAGAAGTGTGTTTCATTGCATTGGTTGTGCACTTGTAGTGTACTTCAAAGATTAAAAGCATATTTTTCAAACATTTTACTTTCAGATAATATAATATTAACTTTCCCTGCCATTGACAGAAATTTATATATATAAGACACAACACTTCCATGACATTGATCATATGTTTTCACTGTTATACGGTAGATACTGCAGATAAAAGCATTATGTTAAATAACACGATCATCAACATTGAAAGTTATTAAATGAAGTTAAGTTAAGTTAAATGAAGTTAAGTTAAGTTATTAAATGAAATGTCGACTGAGGAAGAGGTGTAGGACTGTGCAAGCTTTGTGTTGATGGACGCGATCTACTCCATCTGTGTTTTGATCTTCTTTCTGAATTTCATCCAGACTTGACAAAAGCGCAATTTTCTCCGCTTTTTGTTCAGAATGTTGCTTAATGAAACTTGCCCACATTCAACAAATATTTTTTAAATATTACGTTAAAAAAAATATATATATTTTCTTTTTTGATATATTGCATACAACAAAATAGTCAGGGGGCCGTGGAAGTTTTGTGAAAATGGTCAAAAATGCTGGCGGTTTCTGGCAATTTTTTTTTTAATGGCAGAGAAAGAGTTTATGAAATAAAAGGCCAATTAAGTATACTTCACTTCCATGACAATGTTTCACACTTAAAGCAATAATTACAATTTTAAAAAGAGCACTTTGTAACGATGTAAAAGTTATACTTAAAAGTACATTTTAAAGCATTATGTTTTAATTTTTTGTCATGTTTTAAAGAATTACACTAATTTCAACATGTACAGCACTTGATTACCAATGTGATGTATATATTTCAATATTACATTTAAATTTAATATATTTTAAATGTTATAAATTACAACTTATACAACAAATATATGTAAATACATGACACAAGGTACAATGGAAATGACATTAAAGTATATTTTAGTACATACTTGTCAGTACAGTACATTTTGCAGTACACTTTAACCATATTTCAAAAAGTAATTATGAAATTACATATAAAGCTGTACTTAAGTCATACTTACAGTAAGTGGGTTGAAAAAAACACTCTTAAGTTCAGCTAACTGCATTTATTATAAATTGTATTTATAATACAATTTTCATTTAACTGTGATTAACATGCAATTACGTTTCTAAAAACGTATATTCATATATTATCTCTGTAATGAGTAGTACTCGAAAGTATAAAAGTATGTGAAAGTGTACTTCTTTTTTTACAAAGGAACAAATCAAAACCAAATTTAATACCAAAGTCCAAAAAAAACCAACTTAATTGGAGTTTTACATACGTTTTTGAATCACTCTGAATGTTCAATGCAAAGTGTTTGGAACTAAATAGTGTGAATTTTGTCCGATGCCTTTATATGTTCACTTTTTCCCCCTAGCCACCCCCTCTTTGGTCGGACGGTTCCTCTATCCAGTGGTTCTGGTTTTGTAATGTCAGAGACTGGGCTGATCGTGACTAATGCTCATGTGGTGTCCAGCACCACAGCTGTTTCGGGTCATCAACGACTTAAAGTACAGATGCGTGATGGAGATGTGCATGAGGCCACTATCAAGGACATCGACAAGAAGTCTGACATTGCCACTATCAAAATCAACACACAGGTAAGATAAAACTGAAAACTGTTTTTATTGCACTCAAAGAGCAATCTTCATCATACAAAAGTCAAAGTGTGTTTAATCACAACTTTCTACAACCCCTTTGGTAGAAAAAGTTTCCTGTTTTATTGCTGGGTCACTCTGCAGACCTGCGCCCGGGTGAGTTTGTGGTTGCAATCGGCAGCCCGTTTGCCCTGCAGAACACAGTGACCACAGGAATTGTCAGCACCGCACAGAGAGATGGAAAAGAACTGGGTCTCCATGACTCCGACATGGACTACATCCAGACTGATGCCATCATCAACGTAAGACACAGAATAACCAGGATAATGCATGTTAAGAGTCTTACTGGGCGTTGCATAAGAAGTCTAGACAACTTCTGAAATTCATTTCTAAAATCACTTTGCATACAAGTAATGCTTACTAGTTATTAGTAATTGGTCCATATTATGGAAATGATGATAAGAGCTGTGTTAAATATTTTGAACATAACTTCAAGTATTGAACAAAAATATAAATGGTGGAAAATAAACCCTTTAAACCAGAAAAATATTATTCTATATCTTTAATCTATTAAAGTCACTCGTCTTTTTAATGGTTATACTGCGTCCTTTTTGATAATCAGCATTTTATGATTGCATTACCAAAGTTTTCATAATTGCTGCCTGTTTTATTCTTCTTTAGTTTACTTGCAGTTCTGGCAGTTGGTTCTCATTAAAGTGATAGTTGATTTCAAAATTAAAATTCTGTCATTATTTACTCATGCTCAAAAACTGTCTGTTTTTTTTTTTTTTTTTACATTAGTTTACGTTTTGGATTTATATTTTTGTCCAATGCTTGAATATGTATATATTCAGTACTTTTGGCATATATCTAACCCCATAGATAAGTTATGTAAAATAGTTTGAGCACCAATAATAAACATAAATTATTATTTCATTTGAACTTCTGAAAGTAGGTTCTTATCGAATTTTGGAGTGATTTTAAAGTGGAAGTCAGATTTTTACTTTATTTTATGTTTTGGATTTATATTTTTGTTTAATACTTGAACATTTATGATCAGTAATTTTGGCACAAACCTAGTCCCATATAGATACGGTATGTGTAAAATTGTTCGAAGACCAATAATTAACTAAATTTTTTTTCTGTTTTCAGTATGGGAACTCAGGTGGACCACTCGTTAATTTGGTAATTATTTCATGATATTCTGTCAATGTTTAATCTCCCCCATGTTTTATTTTCTCTTATCTTGTGGAGCACAAAAGATGATTTTTTTTTAAGAATATCCACTCTTTTCAATATAATTTGAATATTTCAGTCTGTACCTCAATAATTCACCTTTTGTGTTCCACAGAAGCAAAGACATGGCATGGAGTTTGAGGAAATTATGACATGTAGCATTCTCATTTTTAGGTCTCCTTTTAATACTCAAACACACTGATCTAGTATTTAATTTTTCTTTTTGATTTGTCTTCTCTTAGGATGGAGAGGTGATAGGAATCAACACCCTCAAGGTAGCTGCAGGAATCTCATTTGCCATTCCCTCAGACAGGATTACTCGATTCTTAAATGATTCATTGGGAAAGCAAAACAAAGGTACATGGGGCAGCTTTTGAACAAGGGAATTTGAAGGGGAGGTCAAAGTATAAATGATCTGATATTAAACGTTTTATTTTTGAGAACCATTCTTGCTGGACTAAATGTGTTAAAACGTTTTACATATTGTTTCAGAGACAAGATCAGTGAAGAAGCGTTTCATTGGAATCCGAATGCTCACCATCACAGAAGCGTGAGTGAACGCATGTAAATGAACACCGCTTTGCTGTTCCGTCGTGTGTGTGTGTGTGTGAGGCATTCTGTCTGTCTCCTCCAGTCTCGTGGAAGAGCTGAGGCAGCAGAATCCAGATTTCCCTGATGTCAGCAGTGGGATCTTCGTCCATGAAGTGGTTCCTCACTCCCCTGCTCAGAAGTAAGCATCAGCCAAACCAGATGATCTGTGGTGTTTCAGTTGTGGTTGTGCTTCAGAACTCCCAGCCAAGAAGTTTGATCTCTGTCTGAGCTCTGTGGATGACAACATTTTGAAGACTAAAATCAAAAATAAATGTCAGATTTGTATTATAAATGTTTATGCAATAAATCTACGGAAGCTATTATCATTAGCATTTCTATACATATTCTAAAATTATGATAAGCTTTGAAGAAGACATAGGAATGTTGAATAAATTCCTCCAAACATGACACTGTAATTCAATTTGTTACACGACCCTCTGAGATATTTCCTAATATCTGCCGTCATCCATGGCGACACTGTTGCCTATTTCAGACTCCACATCTGGGGCTACTTTAATGTTTTTTTTTTCTTTCTGTATCACACTACATACTTCCTCGCTCTCCTTTAATAAAAAAGCAACTGGCACCATCTTGCATCTCAGTTAAAGATTTTAGTGAAAATGATTTAAAGCTGCCAACAAGTGACAAATGACAGACTGGAAGTCCTTCATTACTAAAGGAGAGTTGTAAGGGAGCTGTGTGTAGTTTCAACCATTTGTGTATGCAGGATTTTTTTGGTGCTTTAAACTTTGGTGGCAAGACCCGACCCGATGTGATGTATTCAGACCCAGTTTATATTTAGTGTCTATAACTGCTATGTAATCACATTTAAATTAGCTAATAATTTGTTAAATGTTGTTTAAATAGCAAATGCATTTGAACCTATTTGTGTAATGCCCATGGGCGTGCTGGTCTGAAAACGAGGTGTGTTCAGTCGCATTGTTGGCGTGTTGCTATTTTGAGACAACTGAAATAGACTGTGCCATTGGCCAACTGAAATCGTAATATCTTACGCTAGGGGAAAACCTCTTTTCCACGAGATATTGAAGCCAAAAATTATCCTTCATTTTGAATTAAAGTAAAACGCGTTGCGGCAGCATGCAGACATAGGCAAGACGGCTCGCGTGCCTATTGGCAACTGCAGCAGCCTATCGAGAGAGGCCCTTGGTGATGTCAGATCCAATGAGGGCGCTTTCTGCCCACTACGTCACATTCCGCCGAGACGGGCGTGGGCTGGGCCTATAAATAAAGCTCGATGGGCTGATATAATCTGGTTTTTCATCGCTGAAGCGAACCAGAGCGTGTTGCAGGCACGGCAAAGATACGCAGTACTCGTTCCCTCTTCTAGAGAGAACCGAGGTTGCGTTAGTAACCGAGTACGTTCTCTTACGAGAGGTTCTCTCATACTGTGTAATATCTTACGCTAGGGGAACACAATGTAAAACGCTGTGCGTGCTGGGATCCAACACCAAAGTCCCAAGGGCAGGTGCCTGGGGCTCATATAGTGCATAATCACCAGGGACACACAGAGAGTCTGAGAAGAGAGGCTAGAAGTGTCATTCCCAATAAGTAGCATCCTAAGGGAGCTAATCACATCAACAGTGTTCCACACAGTCAGGGTGAAAATGTTCGGCCTGAACTGGGTAACGGTTTTGGTCTTACTTATTGCCCACTGAGTTTTTTTTTTTTTTCAATCAGCGAGCGGTGCTCAAGCGGTTTCAGTATTCTGAGCCGAAGCAACGGAGCAGACAGTACGGATCTTTAGACCGAAAGTAGTTTAGCCTGTAAGGCAGGTACCTCTAGGTTATAAAACCTTATAAATGTAGACGGGGAGGCCCAGCCTGCCGCCATACAGATATCCTGTAAGGTAATCCCGCTAGACCAAGCCCACGACGAGGCCATGGAGCGCTCTGACACCAAAGGACAATGCAAGAAGTGTACGCCAGTGCTATGGCATCAACTATCCATCTGGATAGGCTCTGTTTTGATGCGGCTAGTCCCTTAGCACGTCCGCTGAACGAAATGAAGAGCTGCTCAGTCTGTCTGAAAACAGACGAGCGAGACACATAAGCTCTTAATGCCCTGACTGGGCAAAGGAGGCTCGAGTCCTTTTCCTTGTTGTAAACCGACAGGGCAGACAGGGAAATAACCTGGGCCCTGAGCGTGTGTTGAGGGATTTAGGCTTGTATCCGTGTCTTGGTTTGAGTATGACTTTCGAGTCATTTGGCCCGAATTCCATACAGGTCGCGCTTGTAAGTTCCCTATGCGCTTCACTGAAGCAAGAGCCATAAGAAACACTGTCTTGAACGACAAATGTTTCATGTCTGATAAATGGATTGGCTCGAATGGGGTACCTTTCATGGCTTCCAAAACCGTAGAAAGGTCCCACATGGGAACTGAAGGGGGTCTGGGAGGATTCAGCCTCTTAGCTCCCTTAAGGAAGTGGATGACCAGATCGTTCTCCCCAGTGACTGGCCAGTCGCTGGTTTAGTAAACGCTGCTATGGCCGCCACATAAACCTTGAGGGTGGATGGGGTTCTGCCCTTCTCCAGTAGCTCTTGAAGGAAGGAGAGAACCTCCGTGACCCCGCAGTCTAGGGGTGAAAAGCCTCGAGCTTTGCACGAGCCAGAAAACACAGACCATTTTGAGGAATAGAGTCGTCTAGTAGACAGCGCTCTAGCCTGCATGATCGTGTTTAACACTCCCTCCGGGAGGTTAGCGGGTACCCGTTGATGGCCCATGCATGCAGGGACCACAGCTTCAGGCGAGGATGCCAAATCGAGCCCTTGGCCTGAGAAAGGAGGTCTTTCCTCATCGGTATTGGCCATGGGGCAGTGCTTGTCAGCTGCATCAGAACTGGGAACCAAGCCTGGTTTTTCCAGAGCGGAGCCACGAGTAGCACTGAGCATCCGTTTTCCCTGATTCGTTCCAATACCTGAGGCAGGAGCGAGACGGGAAGAAAAGCATAAAGTGGGCAGTGGGGCCAGCGCATCCCTGCTCTTGGAGAAAAACTTTGTACAGTGAGCGTTCTCTTGGGACGCAAACAGGTCTACCTGCGCTCTGCTGAATGTCTCCCACAGCAGTAGGACCGTCTGCGGGTGCAGAGACTATTCTCCTGCTGGAACATTGTTTCTGAAGAGTCTGTCTGGTCCCAAATTCAGGTGACCAGGCACATGTGCTGTTCTCAATGAGCGCAGATTGTGCTGAGCCCAGACCAGGAGGCGTTCCGTCAGCCTGTAAAGGTTTGGGGACCTGTCATAGACAACGAGTCCAGTTCTGTGCCCAGAAAAGATATTCTCTGACTGGGAGACAGCGAACTTTTCGCCCAATTCGCCTTTGGCTAAGCCACACCCTAGAATGTAGATTGACCAATCACAGCGCAGCCAAGAACGAGCTCCCACAGAGGTCTGACACTTTTTCACAGCGCTCCATTGACTTTAACACAGGCGTTTCATATTTTTGGTCTCGACAGGCTATTACCGTCATAGTTTTATCAAAAATATGGTTAAACGTTGTGCCTGGGGCATTTGTAACACAGATACGCGTTTCCCAGAGAGGTTGGAGGGGGGTGTCCGTTTTTTCCCTTCCCAAAACCGAAGTAAAATCCTGACAAGTGTCGTCTTTGGATTAAACTGTGTGGACGTCTTCACAGTCAGCTAAACCCCTCAAGGATCAACAAGCACACTTTTTGCTAACCAAAACATCACCTTGTCAGCTAACGTTAATGTTACCTAGCATACCGGTTGTTGATACGCTAGCACACGCTGCTAATAAATACAACGTTATACTCGCGAAGTCCGTTTGCTTTGTAATAACGATTATAGAAGTGAATAGAGACCTACCTAGCTTTGCATGAACAGTGTTGATCCTTGATATTGTTAGTCCCAGCCTCCGTCTCGATTAGTAGGATATGCGGTGGTTCATTTTTTGACTGTGACCGGTATGCTTTTGCCTCTATTTGGATGCCTTGTTGTTCCTTGCGTTTCACCTGTATGTCATGAATATAGCCTTCGGACGTATATTGCAGCCCCTTTTGCCTACTTCTTTTGCCTACTTCTACTTCTACTTATTTGCTGCTTTATAAAAGTTTGATAAAATTTCAGCAGGAAGAGCTGTCACAGCATAAGCCATGTTGATACCAAACCAGAGCCCAGATGAAGTTTGTCGGACGTAGCAACAGTAACTAAGGGGGGGGGCGGGGCTTAGCCAAAGGTGAATTGACTTTGAGACCTAGATTCTCGAGATGTTCGAGTAATATGGTCCTGTGTTCTATGAGTGTGATCGAGCTAGAATTAGCCAATCGTCCAAGTAGTTCAAAACTCGCATGCCCCGAAGTTTCAGGGGTGCGAGAGCCGCGGGTAGCCTGGCCGCGCTCAACTCCCTCATAGCAGTTTGCTGAGAAAGAGCGAGCGGGGCAAACCCCGTGGGGCCTAACATGTCTGTGAGTGAATGTGGGCGCAGGACAGCGGCAGCCGGCAGAGCGAGAGCATGGTCTCTGGTCCCAGGCTTCACGGCCCTGTGAAGCGACGGCAGACGGAGGCTGTGAGCTTCGAGCAGACGGCTGTTTAGGGCGACCTGCTGCGGAGCTAGAGCGCTTCGGCAAGAAGTGCTTCATAGCCTGTGACTTCTTCTGAACCTCGGCGAATCTATCCGCAAATTCTTGACGGATGATACGAAGAGGCCAGCTGGGGAGATGGGCGCGTCGAGAAACTCAGAGCGCTCCGAGTCCGGCATCTCCGATAGCGTCAGCCAAAGATGTCTCTCAGCAACGGTGATTTCGTGGCGCGAAGAGCCAAGTCCGTAGCGCTTCTTAAATCCGTCACGCTGATAGCTTCCGGTCCTTCCTTATCCAGTTTATGGAGAAGGTCGGCCTGGAAGATTTGCAGCACGCCCATCGAGGGCAACGCCGAAACAGCCTGTCCAGCAGCGGCATAAGCGCGACCGTGCATGGAGGAAGTAACACGGCAAGCTTTAGAGGGTAGCGCCGTCTTAGCTTGCCGTCCAGCCGAGGGCGGGCAAAGATGGGCCGCTACAGCTTCTTACACTGGGGGAAGAGAGTGGTATCCTCTGTCTTTAGTACCGTCCACCACGGAGAATGCTGCTGAGACAGAGGTGCGCACTCTGGCTGAGAAGGGGGCGTTCCAAGACTTTGCGACTTCTTTGTGAAGCTCCGGAAGAAAAGGCACGGGCCTAGAAGACGGCGGGGCGCGGCCCCTTTTCAGGAAACATCCATCCAGTCGGTTGTGCGCGGGCGCCTCCTACTCAAGGCCGAGGCTCGCCACGGCGTGTGAGAGCAGACGCATCAGCTCTGACTCGATGCTGGCCCGTTTCCCTGACGACTCGCGGGCAGAGGTGTGTGTGGGGGGGGGGGGGGGGGTGGTCCACAGAGCTCGCCCAATCCTCACTGTCCGACGCCAGGATAGAGCAGCTGGCCTCCTCCGCAGATGCAGCTGCCTCGTCGACATGAATAGCGGAAGCGGCGGCGGACGGCGCCCGCTGTCCGTCTGTGAGCGATCCAAGTGAGGCTGGTCTTTAAAAAGACGCTAGCTCTTTTAGTAAAGAGAGCTCAATCCTCACTGTCCTTTAGTAAAGTGTAGTAAAGTGTAGTAAAGTGTAGTAAAGTGTTGGGCTCTCCTTTAGTAAAGAGAGCCCAATCCTCACTGTCCGACGCCAGGATAGAGCAGCTGGCCTCCTCCGCAGATGCAGCTGCCTCGTCGACATGAATAGCGGAAGCGGCGGCGGACGGCGACCGCTGTCCGTCTGTGAGCGATCCAAGTGAGGCTGGTCTTTAAAAAGACGCTAGCTCTTTTAGTAAAGAGAGAGAGAGAGTGTGAGTCGCGGCAGTGAACAACCACTTCAGCAGAGTTAAAAGGATATATGCGCCGGAAAGCGTAGCAGGTACGGCGACTGAAGGCGGCGAGATGAAGGCCAGCGGCTTCAGGTACAAAGGCTCGTCCCGCAGAAGGCTTTTTCTCAGACGGTGCGGCTTCACTCCGTATCCAGCGATGCGTGAGCTTCGCTGAAGAGATGATAAATCAGATTATATCAGCCCATCGAGCTGTATTTATAGGCCCAGGCCACACCCGTCTCGGCGGGACGTGACGTAGTGGGCGCCAAGCGCCCCCATTAGATCTGACCTCACCAAGGGCCTCTCTCGATAGGCTGCTGCAGTTGCCGCAGGACAGCCAATAGGCACGCGAGCCGTCTTGCCTATGTCTGCATGCTGCCGCAATGCGTTTTACATTAATTCAAAATTAAGGATAATTTTTGGTTTCAATATCTCGTGGAAAAGAGGTTTTCCCTTAGCGTAAGATATTACGCAGTACGAGAGAACCTCTCGTAAGAGAACTGGTCTAAAGTCAATGGCGCAATATTTTTTTTGTTAGGCTACTTAAAGAGCGCGTTAGTACTTTTTCTCTGGAGATGCGTTCAGTCTTTCCGCTTGCAAATTCCGCCATGTAAATAGCGAATCCGCTATGGCGCGAGTGCAACTGGATTTTAAAGGGAATGGGAGTTAGAGACTCTGATTGGTTTATTGTACATAAAGCCCCAAACACACCCATTACTCATTAAGAGAATAGGGACAACCCTTTCAGACCATGCGCCGGGCGCGCCGAGCATTTTTCCCGTCGTTAAACTAGCAAAAGTGGATTCGGACACGTTCTAAGTGCACTTGCACTTTGCGCTTTAGACCATGCACTTAGATCGTTAAAATAGGGCCAATAAGTATAGTACTTAACAATTAATTATTTTGGACATAAGTGCATAGTTAAAGACACCTTAAATAAAATGTGACCCCTATTTTGTAAAATGCCTGAATTAATTATTTTAAAATTATTGCATAATTATTAACGTTGATTAGCCCCATAAAATCCACTATGCATTTTTTTAAACGTAAATACATTCATTATCCATTTGATTTTCTAACATATGAATAAGCTGCTTTACAACCAATCTAAAAGTTCTATGCGAATGCCAATTGATAGAGGACACTTTGGCCAGTTGTTTTTTCATACATTATAATTATTACAAACCGCTCCAAGACTTGAGTTGAAGATCCAAATGCAACTTTATTGGGACAATCCAGAATCGTAATCCATATAACGAGCAAAGGGTCAAAATTTAAGGCAAACAATCCACATAAGCAACGTGGCAGAAAACAAAGGCAAAAAAGGTAATCCAGAACACAGGCAGAGAATCAAACAACCAAGACACAGTAAACCAGGATAATGCTCATAAATGCAGTGTAACAACACACAAGACTTCACAAAGAATGAGTAAAAACACAGGGCTTAAATAGGCAGGCATTAACAAGATAATGAGACACAGGTGGAAGTAAACAAACATAATGAGTCCAGGCAATGGGTTATGGGAATTGAAGTTCATGATGGGAAAGCAAGGGAGTCATGAGGATGTAACAGTAACAGTATATTAAAGTCCCCCTGTAGTCAATAATTGTATCCCTTAAAACTCATCTTTTATCACCAAAATTACATATTTAAAAGTTTTTTCCTTGCATTTTTTTTCTTCATGCCTTAAAGGAGCTTGAATGTAACTCTACACCCTTGCCTAATTTAGTATACGCGGTTCTATGAATATGCAAATTATCCCTGCCTCCACTCACTCACACCAGCTCAGAGAGCCACTCGTTGATGATCACAGGTTACAAGGTAGTTTGTGACGTCAGAAACACCAGCGATTTCAAACCACGATTTTGTGACTGACTTATGAATTTGCACATGGTTTGTCTTAAAGTATAATGATAAATAAATAAATAAAATATAAAATATAATATAATTTATAAAATATAAATAATAAATAAACCGGTGGGATTAAACGGGTTAAAAACACCACATAGACATATAAACATTAAAAGCTTTAGTCCGCAGGGGGACTTTAAATAATTTGAACTAATCAATATTTCATATTTACGTATATTTTCATATTGCCCTGATCACAACTGCCGCCGTTTATTTTGTGATAATGACCGACTGCTGTATGATATTTTCTTTACAAATTTAAGGATACAACTGACAATTGTATAATTTCTCCAAATGTATTTCAGAGGGGGCATCAGAGACGGTGACATCATCGTTAAGTTAAATGGAGAGCCACTGATGAACACCAGCGAACTGAAGGAAGCGCTCAATCGAGACACGACTCTATTGCTGGAGGTGCGCAGAGGCAACGATGACCTGCTCTTCAACATTGAGCCTGACATCATCATGCAGTGATGTCATCAGCTCTCAGAATGTGAAGCATCAAACTTTCATCTTGTCAGTCATGCGCTGTCATGACCAGAGGAATGTCTAACCATCCTTCTACGAAACACCAAGGACCTCTTTTACAAGCTGAGAGGTATCTAACCTTGAGCTTTCGCAATCTCAGTCAAGTCTGCCAAGAGATTTTATATGAAAAGCATTTCATAACAGCACGCTCTCTTTGAAGCAGGTTTGAAGTGGAGAATGATTTTTTCATGGTAAATTTGAAAACTTGCAGTACTGTATAGAAGAAGACAAAGCTGGTGATATTTTTTTAAGTTTTGTACCAGAAACAGCCAAAAGCCAAAAATTAAATATTAGAATATTTCATAAACAATTGAAATTTACATAAATAGCCACATAATCATACACATAGGCCTACTTAATAATAAATAAATTATAATAATGAATAAATAAACAATATACTAATAAATGACATTAATATTTTTTATAAATATTATTATTATTTTTTAATCTTATAGATGTGGATTATCTTAATAATACTCAAAGTTATATTCATTGCTGAAACTTTATTGTAGCACCAGTGGCAAGAATCAATTGCTGTGCAAGGTTGTTGTTTTTTTAAAATACATTTTCTTATGACTGTCATGATGAATGACATTTTTATATGGTCATCTTGTCCAATCAAATGTTGTGTGCTTTTTATATGCAGAGATCACAGTGAGATTTGTTCATGTAATCTGTTTATCAGTCTGTATATGCTCTATTCATGTTCCTGTTTGTCTAAAATGTCTACAGCATGTCATAGGACTTGATTACCATGCTTTTAAATATGCTCTTATTTTTGGTTCTCTTCAGCTGGATCTATGAACGTTGGACCTGAAATAAAACTTTCTCAGAAAAAAATAATCACTTGGCAAATTGGTGGATGATAAAGTAGGCTATGTGCTGGATTTTGAAAGAGCAGTCAGTTGAAACTAATGTAAAGAAGAGCCTAAATTATATTATTTGAGATAGATAATATAAAAAAGGGAAAGTCTGTCAGGTTGACTGATTTCTGATGTTTGGGTTGGAAATTCATGGATCCAGAATACCCTTCAGAACTTTCCAGTACACAAAGCTTTTTCTCCAGTTCTCACAGTCGGGACAGGAACTGTGGATCACAAAATCCAGACATGACACACAGCTGCATATTTCAAGCTGCTTATGCTGATTTTACAGCTTTACCTTATTCATTAAAGTAGGCCTGTCTCTTTGAAGAACACCGTTAAGATCTGCACATTCAACAACGTCTTATGCTATTAAGATATAAGGTGCATCCCAATTTATATACTTATGCATTATACAACTCCATATTGTAGTTATGTGTTCACAACAAGAAAAGTGCACTTCAAATACCCTGCTGATGCAATTATTTAACCGAAAAAACAAAGTGTGGAATGTTGGACATTTCATGCAATCAACAGTCGCAGCTTTCCTTGAGTAGCGGTGAGCTATTGGGCTATAATGCTGGATAACAAAATAACCTACTAAAATTTATTAGACAGAGTGCATACATATTATTTGGGACAAAACTAAAGACTTGTGAGCTGAATATGATTGTTGACTCTTTACCAATTGACTACTAAAGAGAGTTTGACTGTACAGTAAATCACCATCAGTGGTTGTATAAGAAACCCAAAAGCACATTTGTTTTAACAGTGTATTTTGAAAAAAGCAAATTGACATAGCTAAGATGCAAAATGGCTGCCACCATTGTTTGCTGTAATTTTTCAAGAACAAGCTACAATTTTGTGTTTTCTAAGATGAGGGGCTTTAGAAAATAGCTCTATAAATAGAAAGCTTGTCATGTCGCAGTCTGTCTAAAAAAAAAAAAAAAAAAACATTTTGGGGGAAACCATGACCCCTTTAGCTGACTTAAAGGGGACATGACATGAGAAATAATATTTTCCTTGATCTTTTTGACATATACGAAGTATTATGTACCATTAAAACATTACGCAATTTTTATAGCTTAAAACGTTCCCCTCAGTACAAAGTTAAAAAAATGGCTTGTTTGGATATTCGATCAATAACAAAACAAAGAGAGCTTTGGTGACAACCAATTGAATATTTAATACTAACTTTTCGCTATAGAAATGTCATCATAATTGGTAAAAATTGGTAAAAAATGTACAGAAAACTTACTCACATGCAATAGTGTGGACTGTGGACTATAGTTTGGACTACTTCATATGCAATGATGTTAGCCATTTACTGACAAGCCTGAAGGGAGCCGTCCCTTAAAACTGATCATTTCAGACAGAGTGGAATGAGGGTTGAAAATAATTTTAGCAAATATATGACAGCAAAAAAAAAAAGTTTATAAGTTTATCTCAAAGAACATTTTAAAATAATTTAAAAATACATGTCATGAAATCTTTAACATTATTTTCCTCAGAAATGTAACATCTTATCAGATTTCTCTTTGCGCAGTTGTCAAACATGCTGATTTAATTTGCTGTTAAATCTGACTAAAAACCACAAACACACACTTATACAGTCATATGAAGTCAAAAGCTATGTCATTTGCGCTGAAGTCATGTTGTGCTGAAGCACAGCATTCAGGCCAAACCACATGTGACCATGGAGGAAATCAGAATTGAGTCTTCCAAGAGTTAGGATAAATAGAAACTTGACATTGGGTCAACAGATGACTAGCTCTGTTTGGGTTTAGCATATTAGCATGGTGTTGTGGCTAAAGTGCTATGCCAACACACCCAAGTGGTTCAACTCGGAACGGATCTTGCTGTCTACAAGCTGGGTAAATAAAGAAATGGCACGAAAAAATAAATTAAACAAAAATGTGTTACACAGGGTGTATGTCCTGTAATAATAATAATCTATGCAGCTAATTGCTAATTATAGCTCCTAAAGTGCATTCCAGCCATTGGTTTCCACACAAAAATCAAGTCTAAACGTGTTGGTCTGAGACCAAAACAAATTATATCTTTCAGTATTTCTATTTTTAAGGGAGATTGCCTTTCAGCCATTAGGACTACTAAAAGTACTGTGGTGGTACAGTAATGTATCAGAAGGTAATGTACATGTATATATCCCACAGTACTGAATTATCATATCCATAACTTCAAAGAACAGCATTTTATGGTAGAAAAACCATAATACTTTTTAGTAAGTGAAATAGCTAATGTATATTGCAGAATATAAAACAAATAAACTCATCATTGTTTGACATCAATACACATTTCATATGGTTTCATTCAAGTTCATCTACTGTGAATTAGTGTCGCAATGTCTTGCAGGCTTTGGTCTCTAAACCTGACCACACCAATAAAAACAAACTAGCAACCCAAAGAAGCCACAGGCTATAGATTTGTATGTGTGTGTAAGAATGTTAACTCAATGAGACACGCTCCTGCATAAACACAAACACAGACTTGACAATGAAGTGCACACTTATTCAGGGCTATCGCCAGAGACCTCACGTTACTGTGTGGAACGCAGACACATTCTCTCCGTTACACACATAGTGTAGATAGGGACACAAAGAGTGCACAAAGGAAGACAACAGAGCAACAAGTTCTGAGAACAGATAAAAAAGAGGACAAATACACAATAAGATATTCTGCTAAATAATTATCTGCATATAAAGGCATAAATGTTTGGCAATGTAGGAATTGCACAATAGTTTGGAATTGTTGTCTTTGGCTTTAAACCTGGTTCTGTATCTAAATAAGGCATGGCAACAGAGGTCAAACCTCAGGATAAACCATTAGATTCCCAATATCAGTTTAGGTTTAAATACCTTTGTAAGTCGCAAGATTGTAAGTTTAGAAGTACACATTCCAAAATCACATTACATCATGACATTTTTTTGAAATAGCATTAAGGTTACACTTTTACGTGATTGTAGGGCTGAGCAAATATGGACAGAACTTTACTGCCCTAGTTCTTCAAAATATCCTTTTAAAGGTATACATGTGAATAAAACGTGGAACAATGGCCTTCATCATCACAGTATGCTAATGCCTATCTAGTGCAGACGAGTCATTTGCACCTCAATGACACGTCTGTACCATTTGCTTCACAGGACATATGCTTTCAACTACTGTTTATTTACTAGTGTGTTCTAATATGTAACTATGTCATGTTCGGTCTCATCTGACAGTTTATAAACTGAAATGAATGGTGGTGAACTTAATAGAGATAGTAATGTACAATCTATTGGTTAAACATGCATTGAGGAGAATATGTTAATGTTCTTCTCCCCTTCTTGATCACTACCCATTTGCCACATCTTTTGGTTTCCCGTCGGTCGGTTTCGGTGTTGGTATTCCACTCATGTTTAACAATGCTTTACTCAGGGTATAAGAATGAAAGGTAACTGTTGATCTAGGAGAAAGGCTTGTGCGTAACCTCAAGAAAGGTAACATTATTTGTTACAACTAAGATTTCTATACAGTATGTCGTTCCATTCTACTGTCTGTATATTTAAACATGTAACCTAAAACATAACTTCGCCTGCTCTTAAGGCTTAGAGAAGTATTCTTTTTATCACTGATGATGTTGAAAGCTAAAGTGATCATAACTTTCGTTATCTAAACGTTCAGGTTCAATCCTAAGTTTTCCTATCAGTTCTATAAGAAAGACCTTTACCTTTAAAGAATAAGAGGTTCAAGAATAACAACAAGTTTAATGGAGTCTGATTATTTATATTGGAGTCAGATAAATATTTGAATTATACACGACACGTCACCATTCAACTGCCTTTTGTTCCGATTATTGGTTCAAAATAGCAGTGTAAGCTTACAGTCTTACAAGATGAACAGCATTTAATTGATAAGAATGGACTTTAGGTGATTGGTCTGGCCAGACTAGATCTGCTGGGCTGATGCTGCTGACATAAGCGAAGGTTTACTGCTGAAACATGCTCAGAATTACAGGGATTAGGATGCTGTTGCTGCAATGTATAGAGAAAACCTTGAAGCAGACCTAGACAAGTGGTGCTGGGGAGGAGGAGAAAAATCCCATGGCGCGCAGTACCGTGCTGCCCCATGGTTGGGAATAAATAAGGTTGTGTATATATATATATACACTCACCGGCCACTTTATTAGGT